ATACGAGTATACTATACACACCGTATCTTTCCATAATCATTGCTCAGAAAGTTGTTAGTCCATTAACTATAAGAATTTTTTGAGGCAATTTTAAGTGAAATATTACGGTAAAGCATAGTAATTGCGTTATATTTTCTTTTAGCTCTGTTAATACCATATCATATATTACCATAACTAATATATTTGCATTAACAGCCTTCCTTTACACATTGGATTTGCCAACTGTCTCACTTACTGCAAAATAATAAAAAAGGAGAAATGAAATTTAACGTCTTAATATGTAACATGATCAATGATACAATGTCAGTTGCACTAAAAATTCGTGAATTTCTCGGCATTTGAAAGTAATTATGGTAAAATTAAACCTTGCTTTCACCAAGATTTTATTATCAGTTTGATTTGAACGCATTGCTGGCAGATACTACAGATATAAAATTAACCGATTAATAACCTAAAAATTACGGTAACCTAATTGCTTCAACAACAAAATACTAATTTGCTTACTGCAGCATTCATGAAGTAAAAATCATGATATCATAAAACGTATACGTGTTCATTTATACGGTATTAAGGATGCTAGCTTTACCATTATGCCTAGACTTGGGGACAGTTTTTCTCCATAACTTTTAGTAGTATGTAATTAAAGTTCTACATGCTATTAATCTCAAGTCTTTTTCCTCACTCTATTGCGTTAATCAAATAAGTGGTCATCATTAAATCTGAAGATATTGAGCTGTCTCTCAATCGGAGAATCCCAATCACAAATCAATTACCGAATTGCGCAAAATTTTTCATGCAGCAGTTCTTTAGCTATAGCATGGCAATGCGATGATGTTCGCTATTAATTATATTAAACCTAACAGTTTGATGTACGAATAATAATTTCTTAATGTACTCGTCAGCGCTAATATAGACGGTAATTTGCTTGATAATATTGCATTTACTAACCTAAAAATCGTATTTATGATGTTTTGGGTATCTAACTTGGACTACGTATAGTAGATATTTTGAATGTGTTAGACTAATTTAAAATACTTGAATTCTCATTTTGGCAAATGCAAATAAAAACTTTAATGCATTACAGTATATCATTATTAGTTTATCTGTCTTCATTTTACGTAATGTATTAGCACAGATCCTGAAGTAAATTCTAGCCTTTAGCTGAAGATCAACTGTATGGCTATCCTTTATTATAACTTTGTTCAGTATGAATAAAAGTATTCATTGAGATCATATTATAACCAAAAAGCTTTTATTGAATCCATTATTACCGACTAATTGTTCCTTTAGGAGTATTATATGTGTTTCTAATCGAAATACTTGGCGATAATACTTTCTAACTTGTCTCCAACTTCCATAGGCAACTAATTTTCAAGCTACAATTAAAACGAAAATACAGTTTATGAATACTTTGATAAACTACATGTGTTAATAAGAGCTCGCTTGTGAAACAATATCAGAGTAACAAGAGTCAGCATAAATAATTTAGAATTCTTAATATTCATTAAATTTTAGACTGTCTTCCTCCAATAGCAGAATCGCAATGATTCAGTAAATTACTTTCAATAATAGTATTCATTGAACCGATACCATAGCATTGTACCTAATTTTACTGATATACGAGATATACGAGTAGTTAGAATAAGGTACTATTTATGCATATAATACTTTATGTAGCATTGGAACCAATAGACTCTTTTAAGCTTTCCAGTGCCATAAAGAATTTGAATTTATTTATTGTTCAATATTTAACACATTCCTAGGTATAAAAATATGAAGAATGAAATCATAAAACAAGAACTTTACATTGTGGAAGGCAATCTGCCATATTTGTCGATATTAGTTAAATCATAGAATAGAATCAATAGTTACTGCTCACTTTCATTTGTATCAGCAAGTTAGCTTAGTGATGTTATCAATTCTGATAACGATGGACAATTCCGGTCATTAAAAAATTCTTCGTTGCTTCCTAGAATGTGAAATAGACGAGCATTGATCCGCTTATTTAACTGATTAGGTGATTTTCTTGTAAAGACAACTTACTTTGCACGCAAAATATCTCGAAAATAAAAACTTCATTACTGAACTTTTAATTAGCCTACATCAATTTTTTCATTTATGTTTTAACAATTTTATTCATCTTTTATGTTTCTGCATGATAGAGTTACCTTAAGCATACGCAGACGTAACAATAATGAATTTTCAAATGTGTATAACAATTAAACTCTTTGATCTCTTTTATATAATACGGTCAAATTAAAGAAAGTTCTAGAGAAATCAATTATATTGCTTGACTTGATAGCTCCTCATTGTCACTTTACATAAATATGATGGAATCCCTGAAATGATGTTTTAGAAACTGTGGACTTCAAAACAATTCTGGAATAAGGAACTATCATCGAGCTCTTTCAATTATATTTTATAGGGTTGCTTCTGAACAATAGTGTCAATTAGTTCATGGAAAAAGCTACTTCAGCATAAATTTCGAGTATTGAATGATAGAGTAATGCATAATTAATATAAACCAATGTCTTAAAAATTTTACCAAGCATGTCAAACATTTAGCAATCCAAACCTTCACATATTATTTTAGTTTAAAAAATATTACTGTAGTGTAACTAGTATTGTGAATGTAGACTGTTAGCCATATTTAGTATAATGTACGGTAGATATTTATCCTAAGAGATATTTGGTAGCTATAACTATAGACTGTAGTGGTATAGACTCTATGCTAGAGTACACATGACTATATGCAGTAAGCTGTTGAGTTACTAATAAGGCTATAGGTAAAAATAGAACTGTAAATCTTATATTAGGGTATGGTTAATTCATTGTACGTTGGCTGGTGTGAATAATGTCTACGTAAATACAGTAGTCGTATTCATATCGGATTAATGATGGTCCGCAGTCGAATAGTCTTACTAAGAATAATTTAACTATGTGTAAAATAAGATAAAAGGTTGCCATGCGGATTGTAGCTGCGAATGCTACGAAAAGTATAAAAGCATGCAACTTTAGATTATTCTGTTAGTTCGTTCTAGAAGTGTTTAGTAGTAGTATTCGGCTAGAGCAGAGCTGTATGTAGTTAATCTTTGTATAAGATTCAATGAAGCCCTCCCTTACTTTTCTAAAATTTAGAATTTCGTGATTGGTATATATCACAATTACCTATTATCCTTTATTAATCGTGATGGTAGTTAAGCATGATAGAATCTTACGCGATAGAATACGGTAAGATTATAAGTTAAAATTGTTAAATTTGATGAAGACAATAACAAATCTGAAACAATACTAGATAATAATAGAGCTGAGCTAATTTCTGATTTTTTATTCAGTACTTTATGAAGTATGCAAATCGGCCTTTATTTCTTAATGTTACATAATGTAGTAAATCTTGTAAAGTAGTCTAAAAGATCACTAATAGGTTTTTATTCATTTTACATCAAATTTGTAATTTGGTCTTTATACAATATATCTTAATCATAAATGAAGTACTGTTGGAAATAAATTATACTAGATAATGATTGATTACATAGCATACTACGACAAATCACCAATTAATACGTACACTTTACCAGTCATTATGTAATCCCTTTCAATCAGTTCTATTCTCCATCCAGCTGTCACTTTGAACCTTACTTTTATTCAAATAATAATTATAATAAATTACTTTCGATTTATATTGATAGAAAAATCCCTAATAATGTACAGATAAATAATGAAAAACTTCAATATTGAAATTTATAATATAGATACATTATATTCACAATAATGATTAATAATCATCTACGCAGCCATTCAAATATATCAACCATCATTTTTCCTCTCTTTAAAGCAATTTACTGGAAAATGATGAAATTATCCGTTATTATACATTGTCATGAATACCTTCAACAAAACATCACAACTTTTCATAAAAATCTATGTTTATCAGGCCTTACAAATTCATAAAGATATTAGTTTCTTTTCCTAATTTATAATGAAAATTGTTTTTAACCCATTGATTTTTCAATGCGGTCAGAAATTTAAAGCTTTTATCTATAGCAATAAAGCCTTAGAGAAAAAAAATCAAAATCAGCTTTGAAATTAATACTTTTAGATCATTTCTGAACTGTAAACAAGCGAAAGATAGAAGATTTTGCTTAAGATAACTTTTCTCGAATAATCCTATTATTTCGAAATCCCAAATAGCTCATTAGCCATGGACATTCTTCATCTAAATTATGAAAAATCCAATTTTAAGTCTTTATTGGCTAGCATTGAATTAATGGTAACAAATATTTTTAATTTTAATTTCTTTATACCAATATATTTCGTATAAATGCATTTGATACGGTGGTTTTATTTATAAAAATTATAGCAATTCGATTTATATTGAGAATTATTGATGGCGATTTTTCTTGTAAAACACAATTTACAACTCATAACAAATGAACTGCTTCAGTATTATCATTACTAATTATCAGTATAAAATTCATTAATAAATGTTAATTGTGGATTACCTTCGAGTCTAGAGTAGAAATAGAAATCAAAATATTGGCATACTTTGACAAAAATACTGCTTTAAATAGGTTTCATTACTGTAGCAAATATCACCTGTCTTTATTTATTAGAAAATAGCCCAATATCTCTAAATTAAATCAAAAGAAGTAAAATTTTATAAGTTGAGCACAGATTAGCACTTGGAGTATTGAACTAAAGTTAAATAGAATTCCAACTCTGACCATGCTAACTGCAAAACAGAAGAACCAGATAACTTACGATCATGCTTAAAAATCTCCTATACTTTTTGTTTACTTTTTTCTTAACTTTCATCGCATTAAATTTAAATGGATAGACGAGTTAGTTCCGGACTTGATAGTCTTACAACATAAAAATTCTTTTAAAACATCACTAATATTCTATAGATTCTGATTACAAAGTTATAGCCTGTTACTTTCATAACCTTAAACATTACAAGCAGAATCATGAACATAAATGAACAGCAAAATAACTCAACCACATATTTTTGAAATTAATTTATGAATTATTTATAAAATTTGGGGTCCTTTGCTATTTGCAATCTATTCCCTGTTTTACATCAGTAGCATCATCTCAGTAATGAAATATGCTTTTAATATGAAAGTAATAACAAAATTCTAATATCTATAAAACTGTCATTGATTCAGCCAATTTTTAGGTTGTAATCGCTTATGTTGACAATAGGTGATCTATACAGCCGGCTAACATTGCTTTAAAATTAATATTTCCGTCGTACAGTGC